CATGTTTAGAAATGGGTTATTTATATGCAGTATTTCCTCCTGTGTAATGGGAATTGTACACATCTGTTGTACTCAAGGTCCCCACACTTAGGGTCTTCTTCTCAAGGACTGTACTTATTAGGTTGAAGAGCCTACAGTTCATATCCCTGTCCTGCCACTGATTTGCCTTGAGACTTTTAAAAAGTTACTTGACTTCTCTCAGCCTCCTCTGTCAAGGAGATACTTAAAGTACACAGACTTAGGAATGTGCTTGTCACAGTATCTGATACCTAGTACACAACAAATGTTATAATCATTTATCAATTAATGTACTACTCATATATCTTGAGAATATTTGACAGATTTTTAAAAGTAAAGTGAAACAAACCTGATGTCAGTCATTTAGTAGCATTAGCCAGAAAAAGCTAATTGCTCCAAAGTAGGCCCCAAAGGGAATATCTTTTAGGGTCTGACTTCTAAAATGAAAATTGAAAAGAGATTTAAAATATGTTTCCTCAGAGAGTTGTAAGAAGTTGGATATAGAAGTTCTTCCTTGATCAGCAGCTTCCTATAACACATTTGTAATTCCCTGGTTCTACCTCATATCCTGTAATCATGGACTTGTTAATGTGACCTTCCAAGCCCCTAACAAATCAACTGGCCAGTTGTCTCAGTAAGTACCTTTCTCTTCCACAGTGCATAGAGATTTCCTTATCAACTAAAAATGTTGAAGAAATATTAATAGTGCATACTAAGATATTCTTAACAATTGCTGATTTATATTTAATAATAATTTGATATTGTTGAGGAATTTTCCTACTTACCAAGTTTTGCATTAATCTAGGTCTTTACAGCCAGTGTTTCACTGAATAATCTGGATAGTCATTGATGCTTGTATCGCTTCTCGGCCTTTTGGCTAAGATCAAGTGTATGTTAGTGGTAAAAATATAAAAGATCGCTTTTTTCCAAGCACTTCAATTGTTTTCTTGATTAAAAAATTATTTTTTTGTTTTAGTACTCTTAAAATAACCACAAATAATATTTTCAGCGCAAGTTTTTCATTGATGTAAAGTTTTATAAATATCTAACTTTTTATACATTTTTACATATTCTAATTTTTGACTTTGTTTTTCAGTGTGTGGGAAACATCCCAGAGGTATAAGTTAAATGACTTTTATTGACACATGGTTATGTGTATTTTAAACATTTTAGTAGTTATTCATTTTTTTAGGTGATTTCCAAATGATTCATCCATGAAAAAGTTTTTTTTTCACTAAATTTGAATAAAAAGTGATTTAAAAAAAGAGAAATATTAAATGATAATAGTGCTTAATTATATGTGCATAGCTATAATAAAGTAAGTAGCATGTGAAGGATGATATTTTGCAATCACTGAAATTTTATGTATGCCGCTGCTGCTGCTAAGTCGCTTCAGTCGTGTCCGATTCTGTGCGACCCCATAGATGGCAGCCCATCAGGCTCCGCCGTCCCTGGGATTTTCCAGGCAGGAACACTGGAGTAAATGACAAATATGAAAGTTACTGTGGTTGTATTTATCTTGAATCTTCACTGCTCTTGTGTCTGTTCTGGGAGAGTAAATAGAGAAGCAAGGCAGCCTCTAGTGGCTACAGTTCGCATCACACACACCATCGAAAGGATAATCCTAGGTTATTTAATAGCCATGACTAAGTGCCCTGGGCTGGGCGGAGTACTGGAGAAAGCCTGTCTTGCTGTCCTGGAATCAGCATGAAGTTACAGAGGCAGACATTACTACAAATAGTCAGCTGTGTAGTTATAAACTGAAGTAAAGGTTTGAGCTTCTGATTTGGACTGAGTAGTCCCCGAGGAAGTGATGCTCGAAAGTGCCAGGGAGGGACCGACTAAGATCCCACTGTTACTATGTGAGAGAGCTAGACTTTTGTGTTAGCTATTACAGCTTCAGGGTCAAGGTTCTCAAATGTTTGTTTTACTGCTTCAGTAAGCTTTAGGGCAGTGGAAAATTTGTATTGTCCTTTAACACACTTTGATACTTTTGGCACTTTGATACTTTTTACAGAAAAGTTGTGTAGCAACAGTGGGGAAAAGAAAGAACATAAGTCCAGGGAGTTATTTGTAAATGCAAAATAAAGTGAGAAATGATAAAGATATTTCCTTATTAGTGAACATGATAAAGAGGGTACTCAGCTTTCCATGGTAGAGAGGAGTATTTAACTCAATGGGAGCTTCTCTACATCTAGGTAGATACCATGTGTGCTTTAGTTGTAAATCGAGTTTAAGATCTTACTGAAATGAATTAAAATGAGTTGAAAAATGAGTTACTTTGCATAACTAAATATGATACCTGATAGAAGAGTTCTGAACTCCCACACTCTCTGGTTCTCCCACACCAGGAGAAACCAAAAGAGAAATGAAGTTACAGAGGCAGACATTACTACAAATAGTCAGCTGTGTAGTTATAAACTGAAGTAAAGGTTTGAGCTTCTGATTTGGACTGAGTAGTCCCCGAGGAAGTGATGCTCGAAAGTGCCAGGGAGGGACCGACTAAGATCCCACTGTTACTATGTGAGAGAGCTAGACTTTTGTGTTAGCTATTACAGCTTCAGGGTCAAGGTTCTCAAATGTTTGTTTTACTGCTTCAGTAAGCTTTAGGGCAGTGGAAAATTTGTATTGTCCTTTAACACACTTTGATACTTTTGGCACTTTGATACTTTTTACAGAAAAGTTGTGTAGCAACAGTGGGGAAAAGAAAGAACATAAGTCCAGGGAGTTATTTGTAAATGCAAAATAAAGTGAGAAATGATAAAGATATTTCCTTATTAGTGAACATGATAAAGAGGGTACTCAGCTTTCCATGGTAGAGAGGAGTATTTAACTCAATGGGAGCTTCTCTACATCTAGGTAGATACCATGTGTGCTTTAGTTGTAAATCGAGTTTAAGATCTTACTGAAATGAATTAAAATGAGTTGAAAAATGAGTTACTTTGCATAACTAAATATGATACCTGATAGAAGAGTTCTGAACTCCCACACTCTCTGGTTCTCCCACACCAGGAGAAACCAAAAGAGAAAAGCCAGATGGCCGTGGCCCTCTCACTGGACAGGATCTCACGTGATCCACCCCTCTCACTTTTGCTTTTGTCAGAAGCACTTGACAAAATCTGGCATTTTTCATTCACAACTTTAAAACTGCATATTGAGAGTAAAAGAGAACTTCTTTAATGCAACAAAAGGAGTCTCTGAAAAACAACCTGACAACTTGCATCCTAAGACTAGAAACACGGCAGGATTTCTGTTGTTTCCACACCTACTCGACATTACATTAGAAGTCCTGGCCAGTGCAAGCATGAGACATAAATAAAAAGTGTATAGATTGATAAGGAAGGAGTCCTTTTATTCACAGGTGACATAATTTTTCTCCTTGGAAAATCAAAAGGCATCTACATGAAAACTACTATAACAGTTTTTCCGTGTTGCAGAATGCAAGGTGAATATATAAAAATCAGTGGTCATTTAAAAACTAACGAGGAGAAACTGAAATAAATGCCATTTACAATAACATCAAAAAGTGAAATATATAGGGATGAGCCACAGGGGCAGGAGGAAACTTTTGAGGGTTATGAGTATGTTCACTCTCCTGTGATTATTATACACTTGAATATGTACACAGCTTATTACAGGCCAGTTATGCCTTAATAAAGCTATAAAAATGCTGTGAAGAACATTACTGGGACACCTCAAAAAGTTGGAGTATAAATGGTAGATTAGGTAAAATATTGACGTTGAGTTTATTGAAGTTGATAACCACCGTAGGTACCTAAGGGAATATCATTATTGTCAGAAAATAAACACTAAAGTATACACCCACCTTCCCCCACCCCACACCCACACTCACACCCGAGAGGGGTAAGTTAAAGAGACGAGGCAAGGACCAGAGAAAAATGATAATGTTAGAGATATATGGCTCAGGGGTGTATGGATGTTTGTACCATTACCGCAGCTTTTCTCTGAACTTAAAATTGTTTTAAAATAAAAATATTAAAAGTCTGTACTAAAGAAAGTGTTGTCATCTACAAAAATTCCCTAGGTGGAACACAAAATACAATTGCCAAAAGAAAAGTTAATTCATTGAACTTTCAGAATTTTTAAGTACTGCTCTTTGAAAAACATGGTTAAAAAAATGAAAAGGGGATAAAAGAGGATTAAAAAATGTCCACTACATTCATGTAAAGTAGCTCAACATTATTGATCACCAGGGAAATGTAAATTAAAACCACAATAAGTTAACAGACTGTACAAAATTTAACAGATTACAATACCAAGTTTTGGCCAATGTAATGGTTATGGCATTGAGGATATAATGCTCAGTGAAACAAGTCAGTCACAGGAGGACAGATGTGCACATTTCTCCTTGTCTGAGATAATCCAGAAGAGTCAAACTCATGATGGGTGGGGGTGGGGGGTGATGAAAATGGTTGTCCAATGGCTGTAAAATCTCACTTATGCAAAGTGAGTAAGTTGTCGAGATATGATGTACAACAGTGCCTATAGTTTGAAATACTGTATTTTACACGTAAAAATTTAAGAGGGTAGATCTTATGTTAAGAACTCTCTCCTCTCTTTTTAAGTCACTCAGTCGTGTCCAACTCTTCATGACCCCATGGACTAGAGCCCGCCAGGCTCCTCTGTCCGTAGAATTCTCCAGGCCAGAATACTAGTGTGGGTTGCCATTCCACATCTCCAGGGGATCTTCCCAAGCCAGGGACCAAACCCCGGTCTCCGCTTTGCCAGCTTATTCTTTACGGTTTGAGCCGCTAGGGAACCCTCTTACCACAGCTTGAAAACAGTTACCCATGCGGATGAGGCAAGTAGCTGCAGACAATGAAGCTTATGGAGAGGCGGAGGAAATGAAAGTGTCCACCAAACTAAGAAGTTTTCTGAGACTGAAAAATGAGGCAGGCAGCTGTAGTCACCAAATAAGTTGAAAGCATATTTGTTTGCACTGAGGCTTACCCGGATTTAATTTTGCTCCCTCTTTCCAGGTTCCCTTGGAGATAGATCCTCTGGATATGCTGCTCTACGTTACTGTGGGCTTGCTCGTGCACTTCGTGTTCTTCGCCTCCATCTTCGACATTTATTTTACCTCTCCTTTGGTTCATGGAATGACTCCTCAGTTTACACCCTTGCCTCCCCCAGCAAAACGATTAGTGCTGTTTGTCGCTGATGGCCTGCGAGCAGATAAACTTTTTGAATTAGATGAAGATGGAAATTCTAGGGCACCATTTATTAGGTAAGCATGTCAGGGGGTACAAAGACATCTCTGGAAATTGTTACACTGATACTGTTTATCTCACATTGGGTAGAGGGGTGATGATGAAAAAGAGAGTAGGGCATGTATGCCTCTGCCTTTGTCATAGAAATTAGCAAGTGTGTTTCCTTCTACAGTTACTTCTGTTATTGTGGAAGTTGATACCAGGTAGTCGAAATGCATGACCTTAGCTGCTTGGTCTCACTTGTCCTAATTTCTGAATCCTGGCTTACAACTCAGTATATTATCTTTTTTTCTGTTTTGTAAAGTAAGACTATTCAATTTTTAAGTAATGACAAGCATAAATTTCAGTGAATTGCCAATTACAAAGGTATTTGGCTAAAAAACATAAATTTCTATTCAAAATACGTTTTCTATAAAATAAAGCCTTCCAAATTTATATCACCATGTAATATGATAATTTTAGATTTTGTTAAGTGGCTTTGAAAAGAAATATTTAATTTTTTGGACCTGTGGGGTTCTTGCAATCAACTATTCTTTTTTTTTTCATTCATAGCAAGCCCCTCAAAAGCCCTTCCTAATGCTGCTGTGGAGAGATTAAAACTCAAATTCAAGGGAAGTTTATCTGAAATTGTCTGTCTTTCCCCTGTCCCTACCTGTCATCATTGCTTCCTGTCCCTCTACCCTATTTTGATTTTCTTTATAGTACTACTTAACATCTACAACTTCCTCTAAGGCAGGGACTTTGTTTTATACACTACATTGTCTCTGGTGCCTAAAACATAGTAGGCAGTTAATCATTATTTGTTGACTGCTAGAAGAATGAATGAACCTGAATTCTATGTCAGATTTCCAGGAATAAATTTATGGTGTGTCAAAGAAATGAAGAATGTATTAAAGGATACAAAGAAACAAGCAACTCAGGGCAATAGGAAAACACCAGTAGGAAAATAAGGTTGTCAGGATCAGGTTCAGTACACAAAAAAATGTAGCATAAATTTCTATGACTAGTTTAAAAATTGGGGTGATATATTTGGTTGCATTTCTTAGTTGTCATAGAGAGGAGAGAAATGTAGTTCATTGCAAAGTTAATGGCATTAAAATATACTGGTTGTTCAGGAAAGATGAGCGTTTCTGACAGCACCTGTTTCTCCCTGGAGTATTCTTTTTTTTTTTTTAAATACGATCTGATCAAAATGTTTCTCAAGAGAGGTATCCACATTGCTTTATACCTCCCTGTTTTTGCCTGAGTTCAGTTTCCATTATAGAACTGAAGAAGTTAAAAAATATTTCTCCCTTAACATGTGGTTTAATGGTTTTTCAAGCCTATTATGTTTTATGTATGTATTGTACCAAAGTCTGTTTGGTTATAAGTCAATTAAAAGTATCTAAATCAGCGCTGTTGGGTGCTTCTCCCAGAACATTTTGGGAGTTGGGAGCTCAGCGTGAAAACTCACAAATGAATCCATGTTCCTGACGTGTTGCTCTGCTGGCCTTTCACCTGCAATGGCATTGCTGTTGCTTTTGCATTTTTCTGCAGATTTTGCAAATCTCCCTTAGCTTAAAGAATGGTGATACATGTTAGCAAAAGAAACTTTTTGACTTGTTTTAATCTCAATAACCTCAGATATGCAGATGACACCACCCTTATGGCAGAAAGTGAAGAGGAACTAAAGAGCCTCTTGATGAAAGTGAAAGAGGAGAGTGAAAAAGTTGGCTTAAAGCTCAACATTCAGAAAACTAAGATCATGGCATCTGGTCCCATCACTTCATGGGAAATAGATGGGGAAACAGTGGAAACAGTGTCAGACTTTATTTTGGGGGGCTCCAAAATCACTGCAGATGGTGATTGCAGCCATGAAATTAAAAGACGCTTACTCCTTGGAAGGAAAGTTATGACCAACCTAGATAGCATATTAAAAAGCAGAGACATTACTTTGCCAACAAAGGTCCATCTAGTCAAGGCTATGGTTTTTCCAGTGGTCATGTATGGATGTGAGAGTTGGACTGTGAAGAAAGCTGAGCACCGAAAAACTTTGAACTGTGGTGTTGGGGAAGACTCTTGAGAGTCCCTTGGACTGCAAGGTGACCCAACCAGTCCATCCTAAAGGAGATCGGTCCTGGGTGTTCATTGGAAGGACTGATGCTGAAGCTGAAACTCCAGTACTTTGGCCACCTCATGCAAAGAACTGACTCATTGGAAAAGACCCTGATGCTAGGAGGGATTGGGGGCAGGAGGAGAAGGGGACGACAGAGACTGAGATGGCTGGATGGCATCACTGACTCGATGGACATGAGTTTGATTAAACTCCAGATGTTGGTGATGGACAGAGAGGCCTGGCGTGCTGTGATTCATGGGGTCACAAAGAGTCGGACACGACTGAGTGACTGAACTGAACTGAACTGAATCTTTTAAACAAACTGAGCTTTAATCCCCAGGGGATAGAAACCACTGATAGAATGAGGGATGTGAGTCCGGGTGGGAGTCAATCTGTAACATTTTAAGTAAAAAAAGAAAGACACCTCTAAGTGTGTATGACAAATAAAAAAACCACATGAAAATGATGGTCAATCTAGACCTTACATCAAACATAAACATGTGTTCTTTAAAGAAAAAGATTTAAGGGCAGATGACTTTACACTTATTGTTTTGGGGCTGCAGGGTCAGAAGGTCGTCTTGACCAAGAAGACAGTCATGTAAGTCATGAAAAATTCAACAAGTATGTCCACATTACAGAGAAAATGACATGTATAGTAACTGAACTGCTCCTGATGCTGCTGCTGCTAAGTCACTTCAGTCATGTCCAACTCTGTAGGACCCGATGAACTGCAGCCCACCAGGCTCTTCTGTCCTTGGAATTCTCCAGGCAAGAATACTGGAGTGGGTTGCCATGCCCTCCTCCAGGGGATCTTCCCAACTCAGGGATCAAACCTGTGTTTCTTATGTCTCCTATATTGGCAGGAGAGTTCTTTACCACTAGCCTCTTTACCACTAGGTTCTTTACCACTAAGAGTCTGGGAAGCCTCATAGTAACTGAGAGAGGAACCTAAAAGCTTCTGGTGAAATATGAATTTCTCAGGCCTTTCTTATCTCACTCTTTATTTGAAGTTCAAAGAAGATATTGATGGTTGAATTATCTCTCCAAGGATTGTATATACAATTAGAGGTTATAGTTTTCTTATAACTAAAAATATGAGGAAGGTTATTTATAAAACAGAAAAAGCCTGAAGCTAGGACCAGCTCTTTTGACCATATTAATAATGAAACTTCCCTTGGGTGGAATAAATGTAAACCAAACTTATACTAAATGAGTCATTGGAATGCTCTTACATTTTTCCTTCCAAATTTTGAATTTTCCTGTGTGAGTGTTAAGAAAGGCCATTAAAGTTGTTACCAAAGACTTCTCNCTCAGCTTTCTTCACAGTCCAACTCTCACATCCATACATGATCACTGGAATCATTAGAGCTTAGCTTGTCATTATTACAAGAGATTGTCATTATTTTGTTATATCTCTTCCTTATGAACTTTAAGAGGCTATCTAACTCAGAAATTCACTAAGTTGATTAGATCCTTAATAAAATCTTACAGGTGTGTAAGATTAATATATTTTTTGTCCCTTTCAAACTATTTGGCAATTATCAATATTTTTTCCCATATATTGAGAGAAATGCATGTATTTTATGAACAAAAGAATTGAAATATTTGAATTTTCTTCTTGGTTAGGGAATTTTGTAAAACAGGTGATTTAATCTGTTTTAGATTGTACCATCCCTAGATGCCCAAATTCTTTGATTAGTTTCACCCTTACTTGAAGACAAACTCTGTTGTTTACTTCTGTGCTATTGTATGCTAACTAGGGTTGTGATTTTTTTTCTTAGAATTTTAAATTACAGCTCACTTGTATCTGTAAAATTAGAAAATGTTACTGTGAGAACAAAAGCAACAGCATACTTCAAGCATACACCGTGGTCCGTGGCATGTCATCAAAAATTTTTCCCCACATTTCCTCTTCAGGTGACCTTGGAAACCATATTTTTGCACACACTTACGATGCATCCAGTGAGGATTTTGGTGCCCACGATGTAACACAACTGGACACGTGGGTTTTTGATCATGTGAAGGTACGTGCTATTGAGTGGCTCACCTGCAGCACACTGGATGTAGGTATTTGTCTAATGTGCACTAGTTGTCTAGGACCTGTACCTAATGTGCTAGAAACTGATTTGTGAATACGTGCATCTTAGTTTTTTCTGCTTGGATGAATTTGAAAGTTCCTTATTGTAGCATGCTATTTTGAAAAGACTGGATTCTAAGAAATTGCACATTCTACAATAACCATACAGGTTTTTAAAAAATAATTTGAAAAAGTAAACCCTTTTCAGTTCTGTGCTTCTGACATTGAAGTGAGCCCTGATGGGATTCAGGAACCCCACATTTCATTCCTCGCTTGCTGAATCACCCCAGATAACCTTCCTGGTCTTTTGTTGACCACAGAACCAGTCTCTTACAAGCAGTGATATATGTGAAAGTCTTCTGAATGTTCAAATCTAAGGCATTTATTATAAAATAAGGTAGATATTTGAAACATTTGTAAAGAAAAATTAGATAAGCAGAAAACAAGTTCATAAGTTAATCATAATAAAACATTTGAGTCTCTCTAAGAAATAGAGGGGGTTTTTTTTGGACTATTTGTTAGTGACAATCCTAACAGTTTCACCAGGAATCCAACAGAATTTATGTTTTCAAAAATTGTGAGAGAATCTCAACTCTGGGTATTGGCTGACTCCTGTCTATCATTCTCTTCTTTCTCATCTCCACATTAGAACTCATAATTCATCTGTTGTTAAGAGGCATTCATTGACTGACCTTTAGTGGTTCTTCTTTTTACCCGTAGTGTCTCTGGACTGACATAGTGGGCTTCTCCATAACACAGTCATTTTTTATTATTTGTTTGTAAACAGTCAGTAGGTGTCTGCATATTTATCAGGAATTAAGTGCTCAATATGTTCTTTGATAAGCCCTATTTCTTTTCTTAGAATTTTTTTCCTTAAGATTTTCTTTTCTTACTCAAAATGAAAGTGAAAATCTTCAAGTTAAATAAAATACACTAGTTGTCTAGTACCTGTACCTAATGTGCTAGAAACTGATTTGTGAATACATGCATCTTAGTTTTTCTGCTTGGATGAATTTGAAAGTTCCATACTGTAGCATATTATTTTGAAAAGACTGGATTCTAAGAAATTGCACATTCTACAATAACTATACAGGTTTTTAAAAAATAATTTGAAAAAATAAACCCTTTCAACTTCCACACTTCTGACAGTGAAGTGACCCCTGGATGGGATTCAGGAATCCCACATTTCATTCCTCGTTTGCTGAATCACCCCAGATAACCTTCCTGGTCTTTTGTTGACCACAGAACCAGTCTCTTACAACCAGTCTCTTGTGATGTATGTGAAAGTCTTTTGAATGTTCAAATCTAAGGCATTTATTATAAAATAAGGTAGATAGTTTAAGTATTTGTAAAGAAAAATTAGATAAGCAAAAAACAAGTTCATAAGTTACTCATAATAAAACATTTGAGTCTCTTTGAGAAATAGAGAGGTTTTTTTTTTTAACTATTTGTTAGTGACAATCCTCTCAGTTTCGCCAGGAATCCAATAGAGTTAATGTTTTCAAAAGTTGTGAGAGAATCTCAACTCTGGATATTGGCTGACTCCTATCTATCATTCTCTTCTTGCTCATCTCCAAATTAGAACTCATAATTCATCTATTATAAGAGGCATTCATTGACTGACCTTTAGTGGTTCTTCTGTTTACCAGTAGTGTCTCTGGACTGACATTGTGGGCTTCTCCATAACACAGTCATTTTTTATTGTTTGTTTGTAAACAGTCAGTAGGTGTCTACATATTTATCAGGAATTAAGTGCTCAATATGTTCTTTGATAAACCCTATTTCTTTTCTTAGAATTTTTTTCCTTAAGATTATCTTTTCTTACTCAAAATGAAAGTGAAAATCTTCAAGTTAAATAAAATCTCTACAAAAATAGCAAATGATTTTGCTAAGTATCACTTCTTAATATAATCAACTTACATTAGTATTTGTTTCAAGGCCCTTGGCTTCTAACTTCATAAACATAGCTAAAAATGTTCAACATCGTGGATTTGATTCATTGTGGATAGGCAGATATAGTTAGTGGCTGGCTTGATTCTATGCCTTTTTTACCATATTTCAACACTGCTATTAATCAGAGAAAAAAATTCCCTATAATTTCATAAGATATGATAGAGTATGTACATTAATCAGGTAACAACAAAAATATGAAATCATCCACAATAAAGAGTAGTGTGAAGGAAAAATATAGGGACTAAGAATATATCTTTAGAAAGGTTCAACCTAAGCTGAACAGTTAGAGGAAGACTTTCCTCTGAGTTTTGAGATAATCTCTGGCGAAGCCTAGGAAACAAAGAAATGGTTCGACCTGGATTGCATATAGAGAAGAATATCTCAGGCCAACAGCATAATGATAACTTGGGCTCCAAAGAAATTCTGTAATAGAGTAGAAATATTGCTGGCACTGGGTGAGTAGGAATCTGGTGGGCTGTGGCGGGGCGCCCTGGCACTGGGTGAGTAGGAATGTGGTGGGCTGTGGCGGGGCTCA